ATTAAACATGCTACGAAGTTAAAATTAAATAGGAGCATGGACAATCCCTCATTAAATAAATAAATAACCAGCACTTGATTTATTTATTATAATTGAAATCCTCATGATAACATCAATTGAATTCGCAGCACATTCATGAATTGTTTGTGTAATTAACATTAGCACCCATATGATTTGAATATTTTGTGTGAGTGTCGGATTTCAGTCCGACATAATGATAGTCAACGCATGCGTGTGCTCATGGAGTGCTGCATCTTGCCAGAATTTAATTCAGTTCAACTTTATAACTTAATTTATATACATGTAATAATTAAAATTTTATTTATATCCCATCAGTCAAACAAGAAAGTAAGTTTGTATAGTTATTTTTATTGTTATTATCTACTTTTTATTTTAATATAAGAACAATTGTATAGAAAGTCCTCCTAAGTTTCTCTTTGTGTACTGAATCCAAGTGTGAAGAATTTTCTTGAAATCTAATTTTAATTACCATGTAATTGTTCAAAAACGCTTTTTTAGTATATAATTTATTCCAAGACCCGAGTTGGATATATAACCTGAATTGACATATATTTATTAAAACAATCCTGTTTTTGTTTTTTTAAAGGCCAATTGTCTTATTATTTTTAAAAAATTAAAATTAAATATTTATTCTAAGTCAAGGATGAGTTACTTGGGTTCAAGATCAACCCATGTAAATCTGATTTAATAATTATAATTTTTATTCTATAATCACAGTTATACAAAACATCTTATTAGTTTTTTTTTCGAACTAAATCCAAACGAGGAGCATGTTTTTAAAATTTATTTTTAATTGATGTATAAGTTGTTTAAAAACACTTTATTGTGTATGACTTGGTACAAAACTCGAGTCATGATCTAAATATGTTAATATGGATTAATACAAATTTATTAAAATGATTTCGTTTCTATTTTTTGAAAGAGACAAAACACTGTTATTATTTTTTAAAATAAAATTAAAAATCATAAGTTTATTCTAGATAAAGGGATGAGATGGTTGGGTTGAAGATCAACCCATCATGTCAAGCTAGGTTTAATAATTGTAATTTTTATTATAGAAAAAATCTAGAATATGTGAGATTATAATATCTTTTCATTTGTAATTTATTGAAGAAGATATTTTTTGCCTTGATTATCCATGTCGGGAATAAATTTATTTTATTATATTATTATTTTTAAAAAGAATAAATTAATAGAATCATGAATTAACATATTAAATATTTTAATTTTGATTGGGTTAGGCTAATTTAAAAAAGCAGAAGGAAACCATTGTAATTTAATACATCAAATTATGTTGAGTGCGTTTATTACATTTAACAAGATGACATGTCTATGCATTGCTATGGGCCTATAAAATAAATGTACTTGATAGATTTTATAATTGTGAATCAGTGTTTGATAAGTGATAGAAACTAAAGGTATAATGAAACAAATATTTCATGATGGAAAAAAGAATTTAGCTTTTCTGTTAATAAAAGACAAAAAAAATTACAAAACCAAAATTTCTACCAATTTAATATTAAAAAAAAACAACAAAGATAATTTTGGAAGGAGAAAAAACTCATAAGAAAAAACGTTATAGCAATTGACAATGTTTTGTGAAGAAAACTACAATGTTTTTCCTAATAAAATAAAATAACCATTTAAAAAAATACTATAGCAATACACAATATTTTATGAGAAAACTTGCTTGCCCCATATGATTTAGCTTTATTGTAATTATAATTCTTAACCAACTTAATATTAAAAAAAAAATTAATAAAGATAATTTTGAAAAAAATTATAAAAAAGTCATATGGGAAAACATTACAATAATTCACAGAGTTTTAAAGAAAAAAATTACAAAGCTAAATTATTAATCAAATCAATGTTAAAAAAATTGATAAAGATAATTTTAAAAAATAAAAAAATAAAAAAATCATGTTGAAAACACTGTAGCGATTCACAGTGTTTTGTGATGAAAACTATAGTGCTTCCCTACATATTTTAGTCTTATTTGCAATGACTTATAGTTGTAATTCTCAAATAACTTAAGATTAAAAAAAAATTAACAAAGATAATTTAAAAAAATTATAAGAAGAAAAATCATATGGGGAGACACTGTAGCAATCCACAATATTTTGTGAGGAAAGGTACAGTGTTTTTCCCATATGATTAAGTTTTATTACCAAGTTAAACTCTAACCAACTCAATATTAAAAAATAAATCGACGAAGATAATTTACAAAAATATTATAAAAAATAAAAACACAAAGAAATTAGAAAAAAACTATGTAAGGAAAAACTATATCAATCCATAGATTTTTGTGAAGAAAAACTTGTATTTATTTATAATTGCAATTCTTAATCAGCTTAATATTTAAAAAATAAAACTGACAAAGATAATTTTAGAAAAAAACATGGCAAATCAGAAAAAACCATGTGAGAAAAAATATGAGAGCAATCGACAGTAATTTATGAGGAAAGTTACAGTGCTTTCCTCACATATTGTAACTATACATTTTAACTAGCTTAATATTAAAAAATAAAAAAATAATTTCAAAGAAAATCATAAAAAAAACCATGCGGATAAACATTGTAACAATCAACAATATTTTTTTTTAAAAAAATATAAACTAAATTCTCAATTAGCTCGATATTAAAAAAAATTGACAAATATAATTTTAAAAAATAAAAAAATATGTGAGAAACCACCACAGAAATCCATAGTATTTTAAAGGAAAAAAATTATAAAGCAAAATTTTTAACAACTCAATATTTAAAAAGTAAAATCAACAAAAAAATTTTGAAAAAAAATAAATGAAAAAATAGAGGAAAGTTGAAAAGAAAAAAATAATTTTAAAAAACAACAAAAAAAGAGGGAAAGTTGGAAAAAAATACAAAAAAAAACACTATTAATTACTATTGTAATTCACAGTCCATTTAGGTGTGGGGAAATAATGATTTCCCCACACCGTTTAGTTATAAAGAAATTAGCAAATATAATTTTAATAAATAAATAAAATAAAATAGAAAAACAATGCGGAAAACACCACAGAAATCCACAGTATTTTAAAGGAAAAAAATTACAAAATAAAATTTTTAATTAGCTCAATATTTAAAAAATAAAATCAACAAAAATTATTTTTTAAAATTAAAAAATAGAGGAAAGTTGACCAAAAAAAAGGAAAGTAATTTGAAAAAAAAGAAAAAAAAGAAAGTTGGAAAAAAAAAAGAGAAAAAAGGATTGCACTGTAGATTATTATTATAATCTATAGTGTATTTTGGTGTGGGGCTGACACTCTTTATCTATATTCATGTATAAGTAATTCACAGTGCATTTAAGTACAAGAAAACAATAATGTTTCCATATTTTTTAATTATATATATAATAAACCTGGTCAAATTTATTATCTTGTGTTTTGTTTTATATATCATTTTTTTTACATGATGCCATAAAAGAATGTGCAGGCTTCACAAGTGCTTCCTATAAAATTGAAAAGAACTAAAATTATGTAATGAAAAATATGTGTTTCTTTACTAAAATAAACAAAGACATATACTTACAAAACATGTAGCTTTTTTAAAGTAATGTTACTTACCAAATCAAAACTAAATCAATTTAATTTCATAATAAAAGTTTTTTCTTTTTGATATTGAGTCAGTGATATATTAGGTCAACCTTCGTAAATCTAGGTAAACTACTAAATATATAATTTTAATCATAAACATGTCCAAAATAAGTTAATCTGGTTAAATGTCTCTTTCAAATATCTTTTTTTTTTCATTTTCTTTTTTTTTTTCCATGATGGGCCTAAAAAAATGAGAACTAAATTAAAGAAAAAGAACTAGGGCTAAGATAGAATGAAAATAGGAACCTAAATTGGAAAGCTATTATAAATATAAGGACTAAATTACACAAATGGGGAAGAAAAAGGGTTAACATGCACTATGTATGCCAACATTTGGGGGAAGCCATGATATTAGGACGATGCTTACGAACTCCTCCAACCATAGTTTTTAGACCCGATTCAGTCCAAAACTGAGGTTCCGGGTCAATTATTTTTTTAAAATCAAAACGATGTTATTTTAGTAAAAAAAATAAAAATTAATAGGTTGCAACTAAGTTTTTGATCTAGTCTTGTCGAGTTAACTGAGTCACATTGGGTTTTTCATTTCCCTATATTTTCTTCAAACCGACCTCATTCCAACCATGGATCGGCCGAGTCCTTTCGAACTGGACCGGATTTTAAAACCATGCCTCAAAAATCAAAATGTAATCACTCTTGATGCCATTAGAATCATGGTGGAATCGTATTTTCCTCAAGGCAATGCATGTAAGTTGTAACCTAGAACCATGATATCTTTGGCAACAATTTTTTTCTTTATGTTTTTCTTGACTTATGTGTCTTTTTTTATTAATAATAATGTCCGTATCAATTTATGCACATTCTAATTAATCTAATAAATCTTAAAATTTAAAATTATATAAATTTTTAATAATTTTAAAGTTTATAAAACTCAAACTACTAATTTTTAAAAAACCATCACATACACCTGTTTCTTCTTCGTTATAGAAAAGGTTTTGGATTGACCTATCCAAGCCATGGATTAGAGTTTCAATCGGGTCACGACCCGTACCGTGTTTTACAACCATGGTTAAAAATATTTGGAGAAAGTCCTTTTTTCGTGATAAAAATAACATAAGATGGGAATAGAGTAGGCCTTTACGGCCCACATCAGATTTGTATGATTGTATCAACTGGAGGGCTTGGCGCCTTCCCATCTGGCACAGTGAGAGAGAGAGCCCACGTATGCACTTCTAGTTTGTACGTGCTTCCTTTGTCTCTTAAGGATTGATTTTTGGTAATTAACTAACATTAATTTCTTACTCATTAATCTCTTGCATGTTTTGTTTTAATCACCAAAAAGAAAAAGAAAACATAATTTTCTGATTCTGTCTTTAGTACATTACTTGTTCCGCGTTTTAGGTGAGGTTTTAATTTTGTGATTTTTTCCCTGAATTTTTAGCTTTTTAGTTTTCTTTTCTTTTTTTCGGGAATTCATATGGTTTGGTAAGAGAAGTGTTTGATCTTATAAGGATTTGGGTTCAGAATTTGGTATTTTGTGGTTTTTTATGTGAAAATTTTAATTTGCTAATGCAAAGTGAATGTTCTTTTCTTGTGCTTTGATTTCAGGTTTTTTTTTTTAGTATTTTTGTGCTTTGTTGGTGCCTTCTTTATGGTATATAAAGATAAAGTTTTGATTTTTGTTAATTTCTGTAATGAAAGTTGCTTGCTTTCAAGGTAGAGGTTGTTGAATTTAGAAAATCACTAAAAATCGCCATCTGGGCTTCTGATTTTGTTACTTTTCTGTTCTTATACCACATGATCGAAAATCTGAGCTACTGTTATGGTTTTATTTGGTATTTCTTTTAAGGAGAATGAAATTAAGGTTCATGGTTTGGTCTTTAAAAGCAGGTAGCTTTTTAGTGCCATGCAATTAAGGGGTTGATACTATGATGTTATTAAGTTTCTGGTGTTTAGTATCTTTACAACATGTTGATGCTATATGATCAAGAAAGATGTTGATGTGGGGATAGCTTTGTAGCTTCCATCTCTATTATATGTAGGCTCTTTCCTTGTCGTGATGAATCTTAGGAGGCTGAAGTTTTTGTTGCATTGTTTTCTTTGTGCCTTTTGTGAGGATTTAAAGGGCGAGTTGTGCTCCAATGGCTTCAAAAGCCTTGGATGTGGCAGATGCATGTCCAACTGAGGATTTTATTGCTGCATTATTAGAATACCTGGTTGATCCAAAACTACAAGGAAAATCTTCTGCTAAGGGAGATATATCACAAATTGCCCAGGAATCAATCGCAAAACAGGTGCCGTTTCTTCTTTCTGGTGACTCTTCATTTATAGCTCACAAATCTTGTCTCTGAACCATGTGACTATCAGGTGAACATATTTTTTGTAGTAAATGAATTGTCAAATAAACATCTTTTCTTGGAGAGCAATATTTTTAGCATGAGAAATGCTACCATCACATTGTGGTGGGCCCTACTCGTGCCTCCATAAGGCATGGTTTCATCATTCATGAATGATGCCTGCATTTCCCTTCTCGGTATCATATTGACTGCACAATCTTGACATCCATTAAACTTAGTTATTGCAACTTCATCAATTTGTTGTCCTATGATTTGTGGCTCCTTCTGCATCTCTTGATTCATTAAGCCAAAGTATTTCTAGGCTTTTTCTCAAAACAGTTCTTGAAGATCTATACTTGTTTCCATGGTCCTTCCTTGAACTAATAAAATTCTGTATAGTGTACTAAAAATAGAAAAATAAGGGAAAACAAACATAAGTTTACAAATATTGATCCTCCATGAGAAGCTAATCCTATCAAAACAGACATCTCTCTTGCTCACCAGGCCTTTTAAAGCACCATGAAGGCTTTATCTGAAGCAACCTGGCTGAATGGAGGAGCATTGAGGGTTGGTTTTGATTACACCAATCCTTTTCCATGTGCTATGGTATAAAGAAATCTATAAGCTCTGCATCAAACTCTACAGAAACTTAAATTCTTGTGGCTATTCCATGTACCATAACGATCAACATTTGTGGTAGTGTCAATCATCTTGAAATAAGGAAAAGGACAACCATCCTCCTTTTCCTTGCACTTTCTCTCATATGTTAGGATGCTTCATATCTCAGCCTATATAATGATATTATCATAGGGAAAGTTTATACAAAATGTTTCCACACATACTTTAACTGTTGAATTTATGAGGGATATTTGAACTGCTAAATTATTGTAATTTACGAGGAAAGAATGTTCAAGAAATAAGAAGAACATAAAGGGCAAACGAGGGAGGGAAAGTCTATATAAAATGTTACCACATGTACTTTGACTGTTGAATTTATGAGGGATATTTGAACTGCGAAATTATTGTAAGTTACGAGGACAGAGTGTTCAAGAAATAAGAAGAAAGACATAAGAAGGAAACAAGGAGGGGGGAGGGGCATATAAATGCATTTATTTATTAATGTATGCCTTCATGCTGTTCTCCGTTTTTCCAGAATCGCTCTTCTGGAATTATATTTGTATCCTAATACATTCACTTATCCATCTTATATTGGCTTATTTGTGCTGGAAATCATTCCCGTATGCTTTTGTTCAAATATGTATATTCAGACATCATTGCCCTCTCTCATCCCTTTGCCAACATCTTTTTAACTCCCCATTTGTTTTTTCCTCTAGGTCCATGCAGTTGTTTTACTGTACAACTACTACCACAGGAAACAATATCCACAGCTTGAGTTTTTATGTTTTGAGAACTTCTGCAAGCTAGCTGTGGTTATCAAACCTGCTTTAATGGCACATATAAGACTCTTACAAAGATCAAATGACACTGAGCCTCAACCATTTCCATTGATGGAGGAAAGTATTATGGAGGCATGTAGCATATCTATGAGCCTAGATGCATCAGAAGATGATCTAAACATTGATGGATGGCCAATTTCCAAGGTTGCAGTTTTTTTAGTAGACTTCAGGAAGGAGAATTGCTTTTTGCAGTTTGGCTCCATCACTGAGGGGGTCTGGTCAGTGATTGAGAAAGATGTGGATGCGTCTAATAACAGTTTGGAGGGTACCATGGATTCTGATCATGTAAACAAAAAGAAACGAATTATTAAAAAACCCTTGAAAGGTAAATCGAGCAGCAATGAAGGGTGCTTTCAGCAATTTGCATTTTCAGCTGTCAAGGAAGCAACAGGTATATTATGATAGTATGTTAAAAGATTTTGTGCATGGATATTAGTTAAGTAGTTTTTGTTATTTGTGCATTTCCGTTCAGCCAAGTTAAATTTTTAATCAAGCTCTGTGCATGATGAGTTTAGTGAACATATGCTGTTGTTAGCTTGTAATTTAAGCACCTAATCCTTTGTTCTCTGACCTTTCCTGCAGCTGCTAGAGTGCACTAGTTACTTATTCCTAAATGTACCTGATTGAATATGATTATTGCATGTGGAGAAAATAAGTAGTTTTTCTAGATACACTATTTTATTTTTATCATGAATATTTATTTTTAATGGGATGTTTTGTATGGGGAACAGGTATTGATCAAAGCGACCTTGTGGTTTTGGAAAGCCATGTCACGTATTCTACAAGTAAAGAAAAGACGGCTGCTTATTTTTATATAATGCAACTCACCAAAGCAGACAACATCATTGCTCTTCAAATCCCGATTAAGAATACTATCAATAGGTCTTTCTCCTTCTTTTCATTTTACCCTATAACCACCCAGCAATACATTCGGCGATTTTTTTTTGTTTAGTGTAAAGGCTGCATGTTAACTAGCAGTTGAATGGGCCCTTCAATTTTCTTTGGATCAGCTGAAATGGTTTAATTGATTATCATATAGGCAATAATGAATTCCTAAAACACACATTAATTCCCTCACATGATGTAATTACAGTTAGCACAAAAACGTGTTTGGTTGAAACCACTGAGAATTAGATTACCTTTTGGCCATTATCATAGTGCAGTGCACTTCCCTCTTTTTGATGTTGTTTTTTTTTTCTTGATTGGTGAGATGTATAAACATCAACCAAAGTATATCTTAAGATAAACCATTTAACATGATGAAGCACCATAATCTATCTTAAGATAATCATTTAATATGATAAAGTGTTGTAGTATGTATTCTTTTATGATGGTGGATTGTAACACTTTAACATTGGCTCACTAGTGGGATCATTATTTTATTGGTTTGTACTAATTTATCTTCAAATGTAATGGGGCTAGTACAGACTGTTGATGGATAACTATAATCACTATTTTTCTTTTCAATTAAAAAGGTGAGAATATTATATGGTGATGTCTTTGGATGCACGATACTTCCACCACAAAATAGAACCCACTAACTGTTCAGATTATGTCAAATCAGGCGTGCTAGAATAGGACATCGTTTGATTAGAAATGTGCTAGATAATTGTAGAAGGAAAAAAATCTCTGAAATCTCTAATGCAGCATCTTGTATTTGCCGTGTAGCTTGCAGGGCCCTCTGGCCATAAAGAGTTCAAGTTGGTGGACGCATACCTCAGTTGTTGAATACTTTCTTTTGCTTCCTTATGCTGAGTTTCTGTCAGACTGGCTTTTGAGGTGTGCAAAATTCTGGAATGCACTATTGTCTGTGAGCTCCGCTATGTGGAAATAACTTTGCATGCACCTGGACATCCCATCCATAGATTTAGTTAATAGGATATGTTTTGGATATTTCAATTTGTTTTTTTAATTTTTACTATGTGGTATTGAGGTTTCCATGTCTTTGGATGAAAAAATTAATTGGCTGAACTAAATCTAATCTTACTTTTGCTATTCTGTTACCTTACTGCAAGTGTCATGGATATATGACTTTACTTTAGTTACTCGTTTGTATATTTTCAAGGACCATTATTTGGTGCAATGATAATTGACTTGCATTCAGAGCATGAGGTGTGTTTGAATTCACCTTCATGCAAAAATGTTGACCAGTATGACTATCTTCAAATTCTCTTCCAAGACATTGTTTTTGGGGAACCGTGACTGGCTGTAGTCTTTTACTATATTGCATGCTTTCCTTCTCAGTGCCCATGGATTTCCATTTTCCCCCTCATATGAGTATTGATTTCAAACCTAGTCCGGGCACCCATGACTAGCTAGTTTTCTTGGCTGATTAGGTTTCACCTTCAGTTACTTGTCTTTCATGAAAATACCCATTTTAAAGCTAATATCCTGACACAAGAGTGCCCTAACTTGGAATGCCCATGGCTGAATGTGAACTATTAGTTAATAATCTCAAATCATCCAGAACTCAAAATCATAATGAAGCCCTTCAGCTATAACCCATGTGTTTTTGTTGCTTTCATTTTTATCTTAAAATCTCTGAACATTGTCATGTAGATTGCTGCAGAAATTGGTGGCTGCTCAAATAATGTCAGTTGGGGGGAATAACTTTATAGGCATTGCCTCTTATCATTTTGATTTTTACAGCTATCTTCACTTATCATTTGGAGATGAATTTGTCTTCTAAACAGAGAAGGGCTTTCTGATGGTGTGCAAGTCCCAAGAGTGGGATTGGAAACCATGAATGTAAGCAGCTCTGATAGGACTGAAAGACCTTGTGAAGCAGAAGTCTCAGAAAGATTTCATAATCACGTAAATGATAGTGCCACAGAGCTTCTCGGCAGCGAGACCATTACCCAATCTTTGAAGCACAATGACAATAATGGATGTCTTGGCAGTGAGATGAATTCATCAAAGCAGAATGTCAATGATAGATGTTGCATGGTTGATTTGTCTGGTGATTGTGATAGGCCTCAGAAGATGGATGTGGATGAATCTTATGCGGCTAATACCCAAAATAAATACAAAAGAAGAAATTTTTCTGGCAAAGACCAGCCTCAAAATTGCCAGAAGAAGACAATTACTGCAGACAAGTGTTCAGAGGGCCTGGCAAGTAAGAAGATGGAAACTGTGGAGAAGTGTTCAAAGGGCTCTGCAAGTGGTGATAAGGTTAAGGTTAGATTTGTAGTACTTGTGACTATATGCACATGCCTTTCAGTTGGATCATGAGATGAATATTTTTAATGTTAATCTTATGAAGCTTGTCTTCTATTGTTTATTTATTTGTATATAATCCAAATCTACCTCTGGGTATGCAGGTTGACATGGTTGACCGGACAACAATTCCGAAAATTACTGGATGCATGGGTGTGGTTGTTGCCGATGGAAACAAAAACTGCAACAATATTGTTTCTGATCAAGATAGGATGCCTGTAACTGATAATGCTGTGGTTACTTGTCAATCCAACTCCGAAAATCTTGACAAATTACGCACCATCTTAGCTTCAAAGGAACTTTCAGATGCTGCATTGACAGTTGTTTTAAGCAAAAGGGATAGATTGGTACAACTTTTTTCCTTTAAGATTCTATGTCCTTTTCTACATCAATCATGCCAGAAGAATAATCACATTCACAATCATCAAATTAGTGGTTAGTAACTCTATTTGACTGCCTTTAAGGTCACAGTCTGATGTGTTTGCTGAGGCAGTTATCTGGAACCTGCTTATTGGCAATGTGATCATGATCCATGACATCTGCCCATTCTAGATCAGGACGAGTCAACACATACCCTTCTATGTAGATAAATAATGTAGTCAATGTATTATTATTCTTGCCTCCACATGTCATGCATGCTAGCTTGAAAGGTCAGTTCCTAATTTTGAAGCATCTTCCAACTGTACCCCGTTGGAAACTTCCATGACAGATCTTCATTTGTGTCTGCAGTCTCTTCAGCAACGAGACATTGAAGATCAGATTGCTCAGTGTGATAAAGACATTGAGACTATTTTGAAGGGTATTTTTTTCTTCATGTCTTTTAGCTTATCCAGGTTTCTTTTCTTTTCTTAAACTTGTGTCATAATTTTCCTTCAATTTTAAATTCATGTATTTAAGATGAGATGTGAGTAAGAATCTAACTACAAACTCTACCATCTCTGATCGTTTCCAATTCTGGTCTTGTAGAATTGTTTGCTCTAAATGAGTCATACTCATTTCTAGAAAAAGTTGTTAGCAAGCGTGATTGAGTTTATGGAAAGTAGAATGAAAGTGAACTTGAAGAAAAGGAAACATACTTGAAAAAATACTTAATTGCACGGATGTTTCATTTCCGACATTATCATCAACCTTCCTTTAATTGCGTGGTTTGCATGAATTCACTGTCAGGTCTTTACATTATCATCAAACTAATTTTTGCTTTTGTGATGATAAGCATTTCTAGATGCCTTGTCTACGTGTTTACTTCTTGGCTTTTGTTTCCAACATGTTTTATGTGATTGCTGGTGGATCACGTTCACAATAGGAATTACCCCCCTTGTTTCTAGTTGTATAGAAGTATACTTTCATTTAATGAGAATTCCAACCATCCAGTTTCAATCAGGGTACAAGAGCTTGTCTAAATGTGTTGTTGTTATTATTCTTATTGCAATTTATTTTTAACTTCTTTAAATTCTGGTCTATTATAGGTGGTGAAGAGAATTTGTCCCTGAAGATAGAATCCCTTATAGAAGGTTGTAATCTCGTATCCCTGAGAAGTGTTTCTCGGGAAAGGACTTACGAGGACCAATGCTCATCTCCATCTGTCCAGAGGAAGGGATTGCCAGACACTATGCCCAATATGAAAAACTCGTGCCAGGCAAGTTTGTACTAGAGAACTTTAATTTGTCTCGTTAGTCAATATGAAAATCCATGCTAGCATAAAAAGCTTAGTGGGTCTGCTTTTGGCATGATTTTGTAGTATGAGCCTCAATTTATCTTAAAAACGTGAAAATGCCTTGCAGTAATGAAAACTAATGTAGCTAGGACACACCCAAGTTATTGGAGCACAATTGTGACAAGTATTTTACTCCTGTGCCTTGCAATCCTGATGTGGTGGCCATGCATCATCCTTACATTATCATACTGGGCATCTCTAGTTTACGACAGTCTCCTGGGAATTTGGTGCCCGAAGTAAGCTGCAAGTGATAAAAACACTAACATGCATCACCAGAGTGATGGTATAATAGCATGTTAAGTAGATTTCACATAGAAAGGCACTCATACTGTAGTGCTGGCAAGGGTTTTGTTTTTTTCCCTGGTTTTTACATGGTAATTACCTTATTATTCATTTGGCAGGACTTGGATGATGTATGTTACGAGAACAAATGGATTTTACCAACTTATCATGTGTCAGTTCTAGATGGTAAGATCAAATTCAATGCAAATGGAGGGCAATATATTTTCCAATTCTTCATCAATGTGCTGAACTAAGGCTAATACAGGTTTGTTTTCCATTTTAAGGTGGATTCCAAGCTGATGTGACCGTGAAAGGAAAAGGTTTTGAGTGTACGAGCACAGGTGGCCTGAGTCCTTGCCCGCGTGAAGCGAGGAAATCGGCTGCAAAACAGATGTTGGCTGAACTGCAAGACATGCCAAACATCTCCTGGTAGCTCAATAATTTTACCATCTAGTAGGCAAGCAAATGCATTTAGGCTTTGAGAAAGCCCTCCTGAGCTGCTTCTGTCCCGGGGCAATTAGATGGCCGGTAGCTTTTGCTAATTTTGTGCTCCTCATAGCCTGAACTTCTGGGGCCACTTAGAGAACTCCCAGAACTGAACTGGCTAAACCATAGTTAATGAAACTAAAGCATCATATTTTGAGGGTTCTCTTGATCCACATGGTAAGTTGCATTCAATTTGTTTCAAGTTCCGCCGCTGGGGGTGCAACTGGCCATAACAATCCCAGCTCAAGTCTCTGCAAATGCTTTTTTACAACTGAAGGAAAAACATGCCCGTCGTCTTGCAACGGTAAAAAAGTAAGGAGAGTGGGTGGGGGATAGAGGAGAGACTGCTTTCACTCAATAATTTTTTAGAAGAAAATCCCGACTTTACAACAGCTACCTGCAAGATTCTTTTTTCTTTTTGGTTCCTTTTTTTTTTTTTTTTAATCCTCTGTTAAAGGGAAAAGGGTATGGAGTTCAGAAATTTGCAGCGTCCTCTGCAAATTTCACCAAAAACCTCAAAATTGAGTATCTGGGGCCATCTTCGAAGCCTTTGTCCTTGGTTTCGAAGATGCCTTTCATAATACGAGTGTAGAGCCTTTCAAGCTGTGGGATGTCATAATTTTCAGTGCGCTCGATGAGAAGCCGCTTGATGTACTCTCCATGGCTTGATGCTTCGGCATCGGACATTGTGACATCTTGGGATCCACTCCCTTCGATGTGACCAGAAGTCTCTCCTCCTGAAGTTTCATGTCGAATGTCATCAGCCGAAGAGGATTCAGGTCCGTCAGGATTCATATCGTCCGCATCAAGTTCCTCCGGCGGCTTTGCCTGTACAGAATCCTGATGTCGTGATTTATCTTCTGCTGTTGAAGCTGATTTTCAAAAAAGTATACATGGTCAGAAAGCCATATCTGGAGGGATATCGAAAGAAAGATTAAAATTGAGATTTAACAAATCCAGGAAAATTAAAGAGTTGAAAACTTCAAAAAAGGGCATCAGCTAAAGAGGAGGAAGTTGATTTGGAATATAGGCAATAGCAAAATTTGGCTTTCTGGCTTCGAGCACTTCCATTAACATAACTGAAATAGCTCCTCTCGTGGAGGTATACAGGAAGTCAATGGCTGAGTTGGTAAAACTTGTTATTGATCTATAATATCAGTATACTGTCACCAGTAGTTCAAGATGTAAAATAAGTGCCTTGCAATTTAACACTATTTCAAGATATCATTCACATCATTGGGAAAAACAAATGGCACCAGCAGAATGAAAAAATAAAATTACCGATGTACATACCAGCATGAGTAGCATCAGCATTTTTCTTCTGCCTTTTCAAGGCCTCGTAGCTTTGATCCAGATTAACATCAGGCTGGACATTACGTAACCGGGCACTTGTTCTAGTTGTTAACAGCTGCACAACTGGGGTTGATGGAAAAATAGATCCCCCTAGATCATCTGGTACTTGCACTGGACCCCCTTGGGCAGCAATCTTGTCACAGTATGTGACGAGCGCAGGGTCCATCTGTGACAACATTCCATGCACCTGTAAAAATATTATGAGAAAAGCTTCATCCATGATGCTTTTGGTGAACAGTAAAAAAGGAGAGACAAAGGAGAGGGGAAGAAATTGAAAATCAATTCGTATGTTAACTTACTGCATCCCGAAGCTCATAACTTCTACTGACAATCCTAGCACCATTATAATCATCTCCATTGTAAACCTGCATTAAAAACATAAACCAAAGTTTTTTTGGTAACAAAATCATACACCAAAGTAAGTATGAAAAATGCACTGGACAAAGGAATAGACGTGTTTATTTCTAAATGCAGCTAGAAACCAAACACACCTTTGCATTGGTCACGATGAGATCAATGTCTTGCAGAAATGCTGAGCAGGTGATATATTGACCAGAGTCACCACGCTGCAGCATAGTAGCCATGTCCATAGGGTTCTGTATTATAGAGCGGTAGTTTGGAGCATCCTCATCGGTGACAGGATAATGAAAGGCACTAAATCGTTTGTCATACAGTACCCTGCAGCAAGGTTAAGAATGTGAACGATGCAGGGAAGTACAAATACTGGACAAAGATAACTGGTTTGTATTTCACACACACGCATGTTCACACAGACATACAGTCTACCTGCCCTTTCTTGACCTCATTCCTCACTCATACCACTTTTCATTGCTCTCACTCACTTCAGGATCTTAATTGTTCGCTAAATCTCTCATTTAGCTACTTCCAACTCCTTCGGGTTTGTCACCGCATACTTGATTCTCCTATCCTCTTCATTTATTTGGACTTTTGATTCTCCAGTAAAATTTGGAGGTAATTTTTTCAAAAGATTAGAGATTGAGAAAAAAATCTGGATCATTGGCTGAAAGGATTATGGCTATAGCCTATGGGAATGACCCCTTTTTTTTTTTGGAAATCTACATTAGGCTTCAATTAACTAGACGAATTGAATCTTGCTCCATGCTAGCTGCATTTTCTTTAGAACCAACATGCTGAATTACAATGAGACCATTTCAATATTCATGCATAGTGAAACTGCAACTCAAATCTATAATTTCTTGTTGAAGGAAGGTGTAAGTTCCATGTTGCATTGCTTTGATATAATATGCTCTATGATATCTGCATTTTGTTTAAATTATTAAACTTGAGACCATTTCAACGTGAAATAAACTACAACTGTAATCCTAACCTCAGACTTTTTACTGCATTAAGGCAGTAAATCACATTGTTTTGAGGTTACATGTGATTTGTACAAAACCACAACTGTGATGTAAGAAATACCAATCTTCTAAGGACAAGACTAGAACTATGGCCAGCTTACCTGTTGCAAATATCTCTGAGGCACATGCGCATTCGGCGTAGAGCATGCTGCTCAGCTTCTATCTTGGCTTTCAACTCTGATGCCTTGGGGCCACTTGCCACTTTTTGTGCCTTAGGAAGTTCAGGAAGAGGGGAAGATCCTTGGGATTTCTTGGCCACGTCCTCCAGGACAACTGATAAGGCAGCTTCAATTAAACGGTCAAAGAACAAAGATCTGTCTCCGGTTGATGGTTTGCCCACTTGATAGCTGACAACATAAATAAAATACTGGCTTGAGCATGAAAATACTGTGGTCATCATTATATAAAAATGGCGCATTAAGTAAAGGTTACCCAGATATAACAGCAAAAAGGAAACGACATCCTTGTAAGTACCAAGTACATGCCATGCATCTATTTAAAGGCGGAACAAAACAATTTCAAGGGTATACAAGCTTGCACTGAAAGCCTTTTGATGCCTAAAGATGACCTTCTTATCAGCTATGATGGTTTACAATAATTCCAGCATGTACTAAAATAAGTATAACAAGGATAAATAGTCCTTTTACGCTGGCAAACTTGATTGAAGAAAAAAAAAATCAACAGAATCTTATGTTAATCTGACAAGAATAGACATAAAAAGTAGGATATTAAAATGATGTTTAAAGTAATATAGGACTATAAATTTAACATAACATTACCCGCAATTAAAATTAATCATCACGATTATTAGAGCAGTACTGGAATTGCAACAGTTGCTTTCAAATAAGTAGAACATACACTGAATGATCGGGAAATACTGATGATGCGCCATCAATCTCAGCAGGTGGAGATGAAGAGCTTCCAAGTAATAGAATCGGTAAGTCAGATGGCAATTCTTCTAATAAAGTCAGAAGAACAGCCCTGAGCTGTTCATGTGCCTGCAACATCAAGCGTGTAAAGGTCAGATAAAGGATGATGCGAGGGGATCATTGACTTTAAGGCACTTAACAAAAAAATATCACTAAAAAATCATAAAATTTTATGCAAGCATGGTCAATTGTTTCAGATTAGATACAAGAATATGAATCCCTCGGGTTTGTAGAAAAAATTAAGTGCGTATATTGCATTTTCCTAAGGTTTGTAGAGGGAGGCATGTGCTTACATTATCCCACCAAAGATCAAAGTGAGATATGTATAGGATTGATGGTGTGGCTCTCCGTGCTTCACCAAATATGTGCACCAAAGCTTCCTCTGGGGTCTTTGCACTGGGATCCGAAAGCAGAGATGGAAGTCCTAGAGAATGAACAGGAAATTTCTCCAGTTCATGTAACACGGCAGGCCCAAGATGATCCTGTTAAACTAAATCAGTAAGTACTCTTAGTTTGGCGTTTCCATAATGATCAATATTCCAAAGATCCAAGAGGTTAAAAGATAATTACCAGACCAGAACCTTCACAACCACAAAGCAAAAGTCGTGGCCTATACACAAGAGGAATTGCAGATCCATAGGAAAGCATAGAAAGCTTAATAAACTCTGATGACACTGCAAGGGGTGAAAATATATCGGATAGGCAATTCATGGCTTTCTGGAGATGACTTTGCAGACACGGTGCAACTACTAAAGACAATGGCCTGGAGTGCACAACAGCACCTCTATGAGCTGCGGGGGTAATTGTGGACATGGCTTCGACAAAATGATACTTCTCAACCTTTACAGAATCAACATCTATCACAAACTTATCATCACTTGTGTAAACTTGAGGGTATTTTTCACGGAAAGCACGGATGGCAGCTTCAGTGCATAGTGCCTTTAAATCTGCACCACAATAGCCAACACAATTAGCTGCAAGTTCTGACTTCAGCTCCTTTGAAGGAGGATGCTTCCACTTGCGGGTGTGAATGTCTAATATTTCAGCACGGGCCTCACAACCAGGCAAAGGGAAGTTAAATTCTCGATCAAACCGACCAGGGCGACGCAAAGCTCCATCGATGGCATCAACTCTGTTGGTTGCTCCAATCAAAACAACTTGTCCGCGAGAATCCAGGCCATCCATCAAGGCAAGCAAAGTAGACACAATAGAATTGTGAATCTGCTCTTGTTTGCTGGATCTAACAGGAGCAAGTCCATCTATTTCATCAAAGAAGATAATGGAAGGCTGGTTCCTTTGTGCCTCCTCAAAAAGAAGTTTCAATTGCCTTTCAGCCTCACCAACCCATTTGCTGAGCACATCAGCACCCTTGCGCATGTAAAAACTAACCTTCTGCCCAGCTTTTGAAGCAGCACATGCTAATGCCCTGGCAATTAATGTTTTCCCAGTACCAGGAGGACCACATAACAAAACCCCTCTTGGCGGGGTAATATGATAGCTGGCAAAGAAATCTGGATATAACAAGGGAAAG